GAAATATCGATGAGAGAGAAACATCAATCAGCTGCCTCCTGCACACCCCCCACTGGGGATGTGCCCGCAACCAAGGTACATGCCCTTAACCGGAATCGAACCCAGGACCCTTCAGTCCACAGGCCAATGCTCTATCCACTGACCCAAACCGGTTAGGGCCAGAGCATCCACTATTGGCCTGCAGATGCCTCCTCCCTTAAACAGAGGAGTCCTGGCCTCAGCACCCGCCACCCTCCAACCCAGGAGTTCAGACAACCAGCCCCTTCCTCCCTCAGAACCAGCAGTCCCATGGGACATTTTCAGGACCATAATATGGAGTCACCCCGCCCACCCTCCTTCAATAGCCAGGGTCCCCATTCTTTTACATCAGCACGCACAGGTCCACCGGACCCAGCCCCTGACTCCCCTCTACCTTCCCCAGCAGTGAGAAACCCAGGCGCGCTCATGTGCTCCAATGTCAGAATCATCCCCTACAACGACTGCAGGCAGGTTTACCCCACCCTGATGAGGAAGTTCACCATCTGTGCTGCTCCGCCCAGGAGATCCTCCTTCGCCTGCAAAGTGAGTCCCCTCCTCCCCTGTCTCCCCCTCCATCCAGGGTCCCGGGGGCCAGACCCTGGTGCTGAGCCTTCCCTCCCAGCTTACCAGCCCCACTTTCCTGGCTCTCTCTGCTCAGTTCTCTGCCCGGGTGAGGGTGGGAGCCCACGGGGGGGCCTGCGTGGCCTTGGGGGCGGGCACAAAGCTGAAGGATAGAAACTGGGGCTGGGAAATGGGGCTGGGACTAGGGGGAGGGCAGCGAGGCACTGGCTATAAGCACAAGCTTTAAGGCAGCGGTTCTCAACCTGTGGGTCGCGACCCCTTTGGCGGCCGAACGACCCTTTCACGGGGGGCGCCTAAGACCATCCTGCACATCAGATATTGACATGACGATTCATCACAGTAGCGACATGACAGTGATGAAGTAGCAACGAAAATAACTTTATGGTTGGGTCACCACATGAGGAACTGTATTTAAAGGGCCAGAAGGTCGAGAACCACTGCTTTAAGGGCACACCAGAAAATCTGGGACCAGGAAATATCATATTCCAATGAAATATTTAAAAAATAATCCATGATGAGCAAAGCATCAGAATTTTCAACAAAAAAAAGCAACCAGAATGGGCTGGATTTCCCACTGGCTTCGGGCTACTATATGGTTCAGAACAGCACTGTAATGACCCCGTCTTTATCTAAAACTGGAATAACAGGTTCCTCGTGGATTTTTGTTTTTTCGTCTTACATTTGATTTTTAAAACGTGCTTTACAAGGCAATCACCGCATGTGCCTGAGGCTCATGCCCTGCTTCTATGTCTGTGTATCTGGTTCTAATTCTGAAGAAAGAAGGAGCCCCCTCCTCTTTGTTCTCCCTTCCTCATCTCTGTAATGTCCTCTCTGTCTCTCAGAACCAGCTCCCCTCACCTCTCTTCACACCTGGTTTCCTCTGGGTTCTCTCTGTGTTGGGATCTCTCGAGAACATAGGTGATGGGACAGGGTTGAATGTCCTAAAAATGGGGGGTTCCCCCTGGTCCCCCACTGAGGACCTGATTCATAATTCTGCAAACTGTGCAGGGACACAGAGTTGTAAACTCAGGACAGTCCCGCACTTGGTTTAACGCACTCGCTTTTCTTAAACTTCCTATATTTGAACCTGGTGATCCGAACTTTTATTTTGTACTAGAGCCTGTAAATTAGGGCATTGGTCCCGCCCTTGGTTTCCAGGACTACTGTCCTCCCCCCTCCGGGAAGGCAATGTATGGGATTCCCTGGAGGTAATGCTTCCTCTCCCAGGGGCTTGACAAATTAAATGGGGCCCTGACATCCTGGAAGCCCCGCCCCCTTCCTGTGATTGACTAGGGCTCAAGCCAATGTCTTCCAAAAACCTGGTTGGTCCTCTCCTTGATAG